TCTCTACCACTTAGGATCATGTCATGATCCCAAATAGTCTGCCTTATATGTACCACCATATCTCTGAGCTCCTCAAGTAGCTCATCATGTCTATCCCTTTGTGGCTAAACTAGTTGAACTTTTGACTCTCACTCCTCAATAGCCATCTAGACATAGAACTTCTAGCATAGCACTTCTAGTACAAGTGCCTTTCCTCATACTATACTATTTCTTCCCCTCCTAAGGATGAAAATAAGAAACATAAAAGACATCAGGGAAAGAGTCATGTGATGAACAATTATAAGTTGCCATATCTATAAATGAATGCATCAAATAATCTCAACAATCATGTCTCGAAACTTAAGAAACTGATACTAAAATTATAACCTCCTCCTATATCCGCTCGATACAAGAGAAGATTAATAAAATCACCACGTCAAGCACACCAATTAGTAATCAAATATTTTGTTTAAAAAGCTTCAGGTAAAGACTTGTTTGTAAAATCATCAAAACCACACCATATCAGAGCATCATACAACAAAAAAAAAGTTGATTCACATCACTTTCTGCATTCCTTGAAAACCATAAAGTTAGGCTGGAAAATGGGTCGTGTGCCGTAACATGCAATATGTGTGCTGAGGCATGTTCCACAAAGCCACACGCCCAAAAATTTTATGATATGCACTGTGGTGTGAGACACTATAGGTCGTAGTGTGCCAATCTAAAATTTCTGCTATCATTTTGATAATAAAATGATGAACATTCTATTGGATAGGGAGGCGTAGCAGAAGATTAAAATTTTAAAGTCCCTACCCTGATATAGACTGAACGAACTCATTTAAGTCAAGGTGGATGGAAGAGTTACCTTTTAATTCTTTAAACTTGGCACATGTTCTCTTCAAGAGTTTAGATCTCAAGAGCTGACAACATAGATCTACTCCCTCTGCCGTGATAGGAAATTAGTCGCTTATCCTCAAAATTATACTAAAGCTAACCCTAATGCAATATAGGGCCAACCCTAGGTCATCTCCCAAGGAATGGTTTTAAGTCTAATTGAAAGTTATCTAGTGAAATAAATCAACCAAAGTTTGTAGGAATTTAGTTATCTAGCTAATTATCTAAACTAATTACCTAATATGCAAGTAATTAAAATGCTAGTGAAAGTGAGTGAAATGAACTTTCCTTTTTACAATAATGGAACCCTAGAGATTAGTTGATTTTGGACTCATTATCTTCTCATGATTAGGCTAAGTTTAGCTTCCCTTTCCTCTTGACTAAAGCTGTCATGACTTAAGAAAATTATCCTAAGCCAATTAACCTAATTAGCTAACCTCCCTAGGTCTTAGATTAAAGTCCCTAGTTTAATTAACCAATTGGTGAAGACATTAGCCAAGTGATTCACTCAAAATCCTCTCTCAACAGCCATGGTCAAACACATAAATTGAGCAACCACAAGATTATGTCAAGCTACTCAACAACACAAGCATTAACACCACAAGATTATGCAATATTAACACAAGAAATTCACTAATTGAAAAACACAAGATTATGTGCCAAACAAAGAGTGGCAAAATTCAGTCATGGCTGTCCAAGGAAGAAATTAAATGAAACAATCCTCTCTCTTTACATCAACATCAAATTCAAATTAGAATTTATAAGCTAAGATGATTAAACCCTAGATTAAGAAATCTAACCATCTAGTAAAAAGAGAAGAGGATAGGAAACAAAAGAACTTAGCCAATTTGAAGCTCAAGACTCATCCTCCATCTTCATCTCTCTAGGATTCCACAAAGAAACTTAGCCAATCTTCATCTTCAAGAACCCTAGTGATTGCTTGTGAAGGCCAAACTCCATAGCTCTTGAATGATGAAAATGAGCTTCAATCCTTGTGAAAATGGAAGGGATGGAACGAAAATGAAGAAAGGAGAAGAATGGTATGAGTTTTGTGGAGGTTTGGTGGCTAAAAATGGAGGTTAGGGTGCTGGAAAATGAAGAACAAAAGAGAGAAAATGAAGAACACTATGAACAAGAGAGAGAGAATGTGGAAGATGAATGAGATATGTGTTGGATCCCATTTGAGACTTAAAATGGCGTGCTCCTTGGTGCCTCCCATCAGCTGAAGCTTAATTAAAATAAGAAAAAGAAATTAAAATGTAAATGGGAGCCTTGTCACACTTGCAAGGTGGCAACTTCCTATTGGTTTGTAGATGATTCCAATGTGTGCCTAATTTCCCATGTGTCATCCACATCATTTTAGCTGATCTAATCCCTCAAAATAATCATAATTCACGTGCAAACCATCAGCCATTGTCCTCAAGGAGTGTTGACCTCAATTGCCCAATTGATGCACAAGTCACATGCCACCTATGTCACATAAATCACATAATTCAATTAAATAGCATATGATATAATAAAATCTAATTCATGTCCAGAATTAAATTCATAATTAGAAGGGAGAATTTATTAAATTAACCAAGTTTTAGGCTGCACAAAATTATATAAAAATTTTCACACAAAGGCAAACCAAAAACTAGGACAAACTAAGACACTTAAGAAAGTGTTGACTTTTTTATTTAATTACTCCCAAACTAAAATGAATTTTAAAAATATAATTTCACCATTCATCAACTGGACATAAAATGCACTTTTTCAATTTTTCTTGTACATTTTCTCAAAAGTTCATTTTTTGGACCAAAATGCCCCTAGTGCACTGATATTAGAAACTTAGGCAAAGTTCCAAATCTAATGCAATGTGTGCACTTGAAGGTGATAAATCATTAATAAAATGGTCCTAATTGACAAATAAAAGTGGGTAACAAATGTGTTCTATCAATTCCCCCACACTTAGCTTTTGCACTCCGGGCAAAATCAAGTGAAAAAGGTCCCAAAAGAAACTATAAGACAAAGAAATAAGAGAAAAATATTATTTCAAGTCACTAAAATACTAGCTCATGAACTTTTACAAATTATCAATCAATGTGGCAATAATTACGAAAGAATTATGCACATCACAAACAAACCCTTACCAAGAATCAATGTCAAAGAGTAAGCCTCTCTAGGTTAAGTGTTTGCTCTCATCACTCAAAGTGTATAAGGTATTAAATTTCACTCAAAATTTCTTAGGATAAACCCTACTATGAATTTGTAACCCTTCTACTTCTCCATCACTAAATAGCACTTGCAATCAAGAATCAAATGGACTTTATTAGGTTGTGATATAGGTAATGAAAGGATGTCTAAAAAATGCATGTATATAAAAAAAAATAGGGTTAGCATCAAAATAATGCTAAATCAAGATATATCCCCTTAATATGCAAAGCATAACCTAACTCAATTGAGTGAACACATTAACACAATGATGATGGAAAGAAATGATAAGAAATAATAAAACAAATGGAATGGATGAGCTAGGCAACTTTTTATTTTTTTTTATTTTTTTTCTTTCTTTTCTTTTTTTTTTCTTCTTTTTTTTTCTAGCAACTTTATTTCTTTTCTTTTTGACTATATTTTTTTTTTCAAATCTATCTTTGTTGTTTTTTTTTTTGGTTGCCCCTAACTCTTTGAAAACAATAGAAGTAATGGATAGAGAAATGATAATAGGCATCCACTCATTTGATCCAGGACATGCAATGAATATTAAAAAGACATATAAAAGTGTAACATGCATTCCTTGGGGAAAAATAGGGTGAATATTTTTTATTTTTTTTTTTAGGAATCAAACCAAAGGCTCAAAGTGGCTAACAAAGGATAATAAATAATAATAGGTTGGCTATTTGGCTCTTGGCTATTTTTTACGAATGCCATCTCTCATCTCCTATCAAACAAGTGCAAGATATATGGTCTTAATTAAGAAGTGAAACAAATTCTAGAGGGTAACATCACTAAGGAATTAATCACACATAAGTGTTTAGCCTCTTCCATAAATGGGTAATATGCCACTCTAATCCATTAATTCAAGGTAAAAGAATGTTCACTTCACACCTATTCAATCCTAAAAATTACCACATCTCAAGAATCAAAATATCCATTCAAGAGCTAGGTAATTAAGTAACCTCAAACAAAACAAAACAAAGAAAAAAAATTTTTTTTTTTGAATTTTTTTTTTGCAAAACCAAACAAAACCAAACAAACAAAACAAAATGTTTATTTCTCTCCCCCACACTTAAATCATGCATTGTCCTCAATGTATGTATAGACTAGTGATAAAATAAAGTGAGATCAATAATGAATGCATAATAAAAGTGTGGTGCAGATTTTTTTTTTTCAAACTAAAACACAAAACAAAGAAGTCAAATAAAGCAAATAAACTCTAATTTTCCTACTAGGTTCATCTCCCCCACACTTGAACTATACCTATCATTAAATATATCAATTAAAGGAAGGTAAAAGCTCAAGGTTAGAGAGATACAACCTTATCATGGTGGTTCAAAAACATGTTGAGAGAAGTCCTCCTCCTTTTGAAGTGATTTGGCATCTTTGTAGAGCTTGCATAGGTGACCATTGATTTGCATAGTGGAACCCGTGGCTTTATTCAAGAGTTGCAAAACCCCATAGGGAAACACCTTAGTCACTAAATATGGTCCCTCCCACTTAGACTTCAACTTGGCATGCTTATGAATAAACCTTGTTTGGAACAAGAGGACTTGATCTCCTTCTTGGAACTTTTTCCTCAAGATTAGCTTGTCATGAAGGATCCTTGATTTCTCCTTATAGATTCTAGAAGACTCATAGGCATCCAACCTAAGCTCCTCAAGTTCTTGCATTTGAAGAAATCTCTCCTTAGCCGAAAGATGGAAATCCAAGTTTAGTTTCTTGATGGCCCAATAAGCCCTATGCTCTATCTCCACAGGGAGGTGGCAAGCCTTTCCATACACCAATCGAAAAGGAGACATGCCAATGGGAGTCTTATAAGTGGTCCGATAAGCCCACAAAGCATCCTCCAAGTGTAAAGACCAATCCTTCCTATTTGTGTTCACCACCTTGTTTAGGATTTTCTTGACTTCTCTATTTGATACTTCGGCTTGGCCATTAGTTTGGGGATGATATGGTGTAGAGATTTTGTGATGCACTCCATATTTAGCCAAGAGAGCCTTCATCATCTTATTGCAAAAGTGGGATCCTTGGTCACTTACCAAGGCCTTAGGAACTCCATACCTACAAAAAATATTAGATTTGAGAAACTTCAAAACAATCTTAGCATCACAAGTTCTAGTAGGAATGGCTTCAATCCACTTTGAAACATAATCAACACCAAGTAATATGTACTCAAAACTAAAGGATGGTGGAAAGGGACCCATGAAGTCAATGCCCCAAACATCAAAAATCTCACAAAATAAAATGGGTTGTTGAGGCATTTCATGTCTCTTACCCTAACTACTAACCTTTTGACATTTCAAGCATGCTTTACAAAATTCATAAGAGTCTTTAAACAAGCTAGGCCAATACAATCCACAATCTAAAACCTTCCTAGCTGTCTTATTTGAGCTAAAATGACCACCACATGCATGAGAGTGACAAAATTCAAGAACAGAAGGCACATCAACATCATCAACACACCTCCTAATCACTTTATCACTACAAATCTTCCACATCAAAGGTGGTTCCCAAATGTAAAATCTAGACTCTCTTTTCAATTTTTCAATGGCAAAACGTGAAGCACAAGGAGGCAAGACTCTACACTCAATATAGTTAGCAAAAGAGGCATACCATGGAGGCTTAGATGAAATGGCACACAATGCCTCATCAGGAAATGAATCACAAGGAATAGTAGGGTTAGAGTTTACCATAGTAGCTTTTAAATGAGGTAGTCTAGACAAATGATCCGCTACTTGATTGGTAGAACCACTCCTATCCCTTATCTCCACATCAAATTCTTGCATTAAGATCACCCATCGAATCAAGCGAGGCTTAGAATCTGTCTTCTTAAACAAGTACCTCACAGCAGCATGGTCAGTGTACACAACAACTTTAGAGTTAAGAAGATATGATCTAAATTTATCAAGTGCAAAAACAATAGCAAACAACTCTTTCTCAGTTGTGGTGTAATTAACCTGAGCTGAATCTAGGGTCCTAGATGCATAAGCAATCACATATGATAACTTGCCCTCTCTTTGACCAAGCATAGCTCCCACAGCAAAATTAGAAGCATCACATGACAACTCAAAAGGTAAAGACCAATTTGGGGCTTTAAGAATGGGAGGGGAAATGAGCATGCTTTTTAAAGTGTCAAAACTCCTTTTGCAAGCATCATCAAAAACAAAATCAACATCTTTTTGTAAGAGTTTAGACATAGGCAAAGCAATTTCACTAAACCCCTTTATAAATCTCCTATAAAAGCCTGCATGTCCCAAAAATGATCTCAAATCTTTCAAACAAACAGGATATGGCAAAGAAGCAATCACATCTACTTTGGCCTTATCCACCTCTATGCCATTGGAAGAAATCAAATGGCCTAAAACAATTCCTTTATCTACCATGAAATGGCATTTTTCAAAGTTAAGCACAAGCTTCTTTTCAATGCACCTACCAAGCACTTTATCTAAAGAATGCAAGCATGAATCAAAGGACTCACCATACACAGTAAAATCATCCATAAAGACTTCCATGCAATGTTCAATAAAATCACAAAATATGGACATCATGCATCTTTGAAAAGTACCAGGTGCATTGCAAAGACCAAAAGGCATCCTCCTATAGGCAAATGTACCAAAGGGGCATGTAAAGGTAGTCTTATCTTGGTCACTAGGAGCTATAGGAATCTGAAAATACCCACTAAACCCATCTAGGAAGCAATAATGGGACTTGGAAGCCAATCTCTCAAGCATTTGATCAATAAAAGGCAAAGGAAAATGGTCCTTCCTAGTCACATTATTGAGCTTCCTATAGTCTATGCACACTCTCCAAGCATTTTGAACTCTAGTTGGAACAAGCTCTCCTTTCTCATTTTTTACCACAGTAATCCCCCCTTTCTTAGGTACAACTTGGGTTGGAGACACCCACTCACTGTCAGCTATAGGATAGATGATCCCAGCACTAAGTAGCTTAACAACCTCTTTCTTTACCACATCTAAAATCAATGGGTTAAGTCTCCTTTGTGGTTGCCTAATGGGCTTAGCATTGTCCTCAAGAAAAATTTTATGTGTGCACACAATAGGGTCAATACCAGGAATGTCAGCCAAAGTCCAACCAATAGCATGTATGTTCTTTCTCAACACATCAAGTAATGCATTTTCTTCCTCAAGAGATAAAGAGTTAGAAATTATTACCGGAAGCTTCTCATTCTCAATGAGATATGCATACTTGAGATTGGATGGTAAAGGCTTCAACTCCAAGGTAGGTGGCTCTACACAAGAGGGAATGAGCTTCTTCAAGTCTAATTTGGTGGAATATTCCATGGTACTATCTTGTCTTTTAGGCTTGTCACTTGTTTTTGATTTCTCCTCTTCTTTCTTTACAGCCTCCCCCTTTTCTTGCAACTTGTCCTCAAGTGCTTGGACTTGAGCCACGGCCTCGACATGTGAAAGTGTAGAATTTTCCTCCAATAGCTTGGGAATCCTAAGAACATCAAGCTCGAGTGGAGAAAAACTCATAGATTCGGCCTTAATGGCTTTAGTACCTACAACACAAGAAGATATACCCTTCTCAAGCATTTCAAGATCAAGCATAGGAGATATTTTAAACAAATCATGAGAAGAAGTAGTTGCATCATTCAAGCATGCATCAATCTCTAAACAAATAGGACAACTACATCCATCAATACATGTAGTAGTAACAAGAGACAAATCATCATCAACATGTGAGAAAGAATCAAGCATGTGAGACTCACAAGCATCATGAAGCAATAACTCAATGGAACTTACACCTAACAAAGAATAATCCTCAAAAGGATGTTTCATTGCTTCATATATATTAAAAATAACATGATCCTCTCCACATTTCAAAATCAAACTACCTTTTTCCATGTCAATCAATGTACGGGCAGTCCTCATAAATGGCCTTCCTAAAATCAAAATATCATCCCCACTCCCTTCTTTTGACATATCAAGCACATAGAAATCCACAGGAAATAATAGACCTTTAACACAAACCAACAAGTCTTCTACTACTCCATGTGGTCTTCTAACACTTCTATCCGCTAATTGGCATATCATAGGTGTCTTATGCATGCAATCAAGACTCAAGGCATGATAAATTGAAAGAGGCATAACATTAATGGCTGCACCTAAGTCTATCAATGCATGAGAAAAATGTGTGTTGCCAATCTTGCATGGAATTGTGAAGGAACCAGGGTCCTCACATTTTATAGGGAGTTGAGGCTTCATGATAGCACTCACAGATGAGGGTAATTGTACCCTTGCATTAGGCCTAAATTTTCTTTTATTTGTACAACAATCTTTCAAAAATTTGGCATACTTAGGAAAGTTCTTAACTACATCCATCAAGGGTACATTAACATGAATCTTGTGGAAGAAATCATATACCTCTTGATCAAATTGTCCCTTTACTTGCTTAGGGACCACTTGTGCTTGTGGAAAAGGAAGCTTCTTCATAATCTCTTGACTTTGCTTTCCTTCTTCCTTCCTTGAACTCTCCTTTCTTGTTTCACTTTGCTCGGCCTCTCCCTCTTTTTCCTTACTAAACAACTCGGCCATAGTCCCCTTTTCCACCTTAGATGGTGGTTGCTCACATATGATCTCCTCAATGTTTTCATCCTCATCATCTCTACAAAAAGATGCATCATTAGGAGCAAAAGAAGAACTAGAAACATTAACATCAATTGAAGAATTTAAAGAGGGCTTCTCGGCCTTCCCTTGTCTTTTGTCTTCTTGTACTCTTTCTCCCAACTCCTTGCCACTCCTCAATGTGATAGCATTAAGATTAGCTTTAGGATTAGCAACGGTGTTGGATGGTAATGTAGAGGCTTGAGCATTGGCTGCACTTAATTGGTTAGCAAGCATATTCATTTGAGAAGTAAGGGCATCAATTTTAGAGTTCATGTTCTCACACTTGTTACCCATACTCTCTACCTTGTTCCCTAAGCCATCATACATGTTTTTATACAAAGAGTTCATTTCAATCAACTGCTTACGTAACACATTCACATCATTAGAAGAGTTCGAATTAGAAGAACTCTCAATTGGAACAAGCCTCCTATCACTATAAGAATTAGAAGAAGGTGTAAGAGAATTACCACTTGGATTGTAGCTTTGAGAAGAGCTACCTTGAGACAAATGAGGTGCAGGGTCACGGCCAAAGGTGTTTTGATAGGATCCTCTTTGTTGATTGTCTTGTAAAGCCACATTTAGATTTGAATAGGAGAAATTAGGATGGTCTCTCCATGAAGGGTTGTAAGTATTAGAATAAGCTCCTTGCCCTTGCCTCCCACCATAGGATTGTTTTCCATTGTAGATAGCATTTACTTGTTCAAACTTAATAGGACAATTGCTTTCTACATGCATAGGTGAGTCACAAAAAGTACAAGAATAAGGGACAAGTGCTTGAGAAGTACTTACATTGCTCACTTGAGATATTTGTGGAGCCAACATTCTCCCAATCTTGGCAGCTAGCAAGTCCACATATGAATCATTAAGAACTGAGGAACCTACCATATTCACATTTCTCTTTTCCCTTGTAGAGTATTGAGCACCACTTGAAGCCATCTTGTCAATTAGTTCCCAAGCCTTTAAGGAAGTGAGGTCAATCAAGCATCCACCACTAGCGGCATCAATGTTAACTTTGTCTCTTGGAATCAAGCCCTCATAGAAATATTGGACTAAATTCTCACTAGAAATTTGATGGTGTGGGCATTTAGCCAAAAGGCCTTGGAATCTAGTCCAATACTCATAGAGACTCTCATCCTCTCCTTGTTGGACCCCATAGATTTGCTTTCTCAAATTGGTGACCTTGGAATTTGGAAAGAATTTATCTAAGAAGAGTCTTCTTAGCTCAACCCATGTGCTCACTTTCACATAAGAAGGGTAGTTGAAATACCATTCCTTTGCTAAACCTTCAAGAGAAAATACAAAAGCCTTAGCTTGAACATCATCAACATTTACATGCATAGGCTTCATAGTATCACAAACCAATAGGAAAGTATGCAAAAACTAATTACAAAGCTAACCCTAATGCAATATAGGGCCAACCCTAGGTCATCTCCCAAGGAATGGTTTTAAGTGTAATTGAAAGTTATCTAGTGAAATAAATCAACCAAAGTTTGTAGGAATTTAGTTATCTAGCTAATTATCTAAACTAATTACCTAATATGCAAGTAATTAAAATGCTAGTGAAAGTGAGTGAAATGAACTTCCCTTTTTACAATAATGGAACCCTAGAGATTAGTTGATTTTGGACTCATTATCTTCTCATGATTAGGCTAAGTTTAGCTTCCCTTTCCTCTTGACTAAAGCTGTCATGTCTTAAGAAAATTATCCTAAGCCAATTAACCTAATTAGCTAACCTCCCTAGGTCTTAGATTAAAGTCCCTAGTTTAATTAACCAATTGGTGAAGACATTAGCCAAGTGATTCACTCAAAATCCTCTCTCAACAGCCACGGTCAAACACATAAATTGAGCAACCACAAGATTATGTCAAGCTACTCAACAACACAAGCATTAACACCACAAGATTATGCAATATTAACACAAGAAATTCACTAATTGAAAAACACAAGATTATGTGCCAAACAAAGAGTGGCAAAATTCAGTCATGGCTGTCCAAGGAAGAAATTAAATGAAACAATCCTCTCTCTTTACATCAACATCAAATTCAAATTAGAATTTATAAGCTAAGATGATTAAACCCTAGATTAAGGAATCTAACCATCTAGTAAAAAGAGAAGAGGATAGGAAACAAAAGAACTTAGCCAATTTGAAGCTCAAGACTCATCCTCCATCTTCATCTCTCTAGGATTCCACAAAGAAACTTAGCCAATCTTCATCTTCAAGAACCCTAGTGATTGCTTGTGAAGGCCAAACTCCATAGCTCTTGAATGATGAAAATGAGCTTCAATCCTTGTGAAAATGGAAGGGATGGAACGAAAATGAAGAAAGAGAAGAATGGTATGAGTTTTGTGGAGGTTTGGTGGCTAAAAATGGAGGTTAGGGTGCTGGAAAATGAAGAACAAAAGAGAGAAAATGAAGAACACTATGAACAAGAGAGAGAGAGAATGTGGAAGATGAATGAGATATGTGTTGGATCCCATTTGAGACTTAAAATGGCGTGCTCCTTGGTGCCTCCCATCAGCTGAAGCTTAATTAAAATAAGAAAAAAGAAATTAAAATGTAAATGGGAGCCTTGTCACACTTGCAAGGTGGCAACTTCCTATTGGTTTGTAGATGATTCCAATGTGTGCCTAATTTCCCATGTGTCATCCACATCATTTTAGCTGATCTAATCCCTCAAAATAATCATAATTCACGTGCAAACCATCAGCCATTGTCCTCAAGGAGTGTTGACCTCAATTGCCCAATTGATGCACAAGTCACATGCCACCTATGTCACATAAATCACATAATTCAATTAAATAGCATATGATATAATAAAATCTAATTCATGTCCAGAATTAAATTCATAATTAGAAGGGAGAATTTATTAAATTAACCAAGTTTTAGGCTGCACAAAATTATATAAAAATTTTCACACAAAGGCAAACCAAAAACTAGGACAAACTAAGACACTTAAGAAAGTGTTGACTTTTTTATTTAATTACTCCCAAACTAAAATGAATTTTAAAAATATAATTTCACCATTCATCAACTGGACATAAAATGCACTTTGTCAATTTTTCTTGTACATTTTCTCAAAAGTTCATTTTTTGGACCAAAATGCCCCTAGTGCACTGATATTAGAAACTTAGGCAAAGTTCCAAATCTAATGCAATGTGTGCACTTGAAGGTGATAAATCATTAATAAAATGGTCCTAATTGACAAATAAAAGTGGGTAACAAATGTGTTCTATCATGCCGGTATCCATACACAAATAGCTCTCTAACTCGAACAGCCTGCTAGCGCCCTTAGCATTCATTCTTCTTTGAATGTTAACTTTCCTTTCTATAGGGTGTTTCATGACTCTCTAAGTATTTTTGCCGTCAGAACTTTTCTAACTCTCTCCTCTTTCATAAAGGACTTCCCTATCTATATATAGTATATAGATAAGGGTTTTCATCTTCCACTTAAAAGCCCATGAAAATTTTATTAAATTTACATAAACTTAATCCATAATATCATATCTAATTCGAATTTATCTTATAAATTCGAATTATAAAATTGACATGATATTCTATCATATCATGTTAGTTATTAAATTTAATATATCATATAAAATTAAATTTAAAACTAACATAACATAACATAATATAATATAATATAATATAATATATCACATATACATATTATATATATATATATACGACGATATATATATATATATATATTATATATATATTTAATATCATATACATATATCACACACACACACATATATATATCTGATACATATATACACATACATATATGGATATATATATAAAACTATATTTTGAATTTTATATTTCATATAACTATATATATAAATATTTATCAAATAAATATTCAAATATATATATATAATTCATTCACCCTATATTACTTTAATTTGTATCTCTATAATTAATCTAAGTCATACCAGTCTTGTTTTATTTATGATCCCTCAAAGATAACCGACCAGGGACATTTAGGACAATCACTATAGTTTGTCTAGGGATACAGTTATCATATTGAACATGAAATTGTTATGATAACAAA